GTAACCTAAATCTATGATTTGTAAAAAAAAGGAAAAAGGAAAAAGGAAAATTGATCAAGATAAATGTAGTTTTATTTCTTAAAGGATAGGAAACATATTTCTTCTTGAAACATGCATAAAATGGTAAGTAAATCGTAGATAGTGAAAAGATTAAGATAGCTCTGCTAATTTGTTGTTATTTGTGGTAATTGCTTTTTAAAATTATTTTCTTATTACATTCATGAACATATTTATCACTTCAACAGCTGACAAATTGTCCGCTTTTTCTATTAACTAGGACGTTCTAGAATTAGAGTGTCAGGTTTTAGAATAGCAGATGATAAATTTGTGCATAATTTGCCTTTCTTATAAAAATTGTTCTATTTAAATACAGGGTTATTTTACAAACCTCCTGACATGTCATATTATTTTCATTATATAGTAGTATAATATTTCTGCATTAATAATATGGTAACGTTACATCCAATCTCTATATTTTAATATACTCATTAGCAAGGCTACAAACATCTACATTTTATTACATAAATGAACCCTGAGATTAAGAATAAATTGTGAGATGTATATGTATGTACATGATCTGAACCAATGAACTGTGGCCTGGAATGATGTCACACAATGTGCAGCATTAAGTGGAAGGTTAAACCTACTTGCATCTCGGTTCATTAAACGCAGTTAAAGTGCAAATTCCCTCATTCTGACAGTAGTAATCACAAGGGTTCACTTTCTGGTCACAGCGCTGATTTTTAAACCCCACAGAGCATCTGCAGAATTTCAGTAAAATACAGCTAAATAAATAAATATTCTCCCCCCTTTTTTTTTTTGCTGAAGATCTTTTAAATGCAAATACATAGCTGATAAAATGAACAATAAGCAAATATGCTCCACTTAATCATGGGGAGTCCAAACTATAACTATTCATTAAATTAGCTATGGGTGGAAACCAAGCTAATGTGGGTGCAATCCTGTCAAACATAGAACTGGCACAGGACTCAACAGAATCGTTGTTCCCTCTTCCAGTGTGGCAGACAGCAAGCAGGCACTTTGAAGTTCCTGATAATTGTTGGCCAGGAGAGATTAAGGTCTATCTCTAGCCTTCTAATACCCTTTGTTGAATGTTTCCTAAATTCTGAACTTGATCCAGTTTTCTAACCAATTGGGTACACTGATCTCCCATACTTGATAATGCCCCAATTTATCAGGTGATTATCCAAGACAAAGGAGGGAAGCTAATAATTCCATATGCAGTCACTGCACCCATATTAGAATTATGGATCCTGCCCAATGAAGGCAAATATAAACTGTTCCCATTAAAACACATTTTGCATTCCTTAGTTCTAGAACAATTTGTAATAAACCCACTTGCTTCAGCTATGAGAAATTTGGGAGAATATAATTACATCCAAATATCTGACAATCTTTTCTTATAACAGAATGATTATAGACTCTTTTAATGAGCACTCCAAGGACAATCAAATTGAAATGTTTCAGCATACATTAAAATTAGGATACTCATTTTAGGCTTAGTATATGGTTGCTTTGATATCATACAGAACCATTTACAAGAGTGAAATGTACCTTTATAATTACCAAGATGCAACTACAATATACATTTAAAGGACTACATGTCAAAAGATCATTGTATGGACAACTGTGATTTAAGAATTAATTTTAAAGTTTGGGTTTAAAAGGCTGTCTTAAAAATGTAATTATAATATTACTGCAACATTGCAAATGTTATTCATAAATATATTCATAAAATATATATTTTTATTTATATTTGAACAACATATATTTCTACACCTTTCAGTAATGCTATCTATATAATAATTAGAATAGGTACAAATAGAAGCCATTCTCCTATCCTTGTCAATGACAACTGTCAAAACTAAAACCAAACCTGGACCAAGATTTCATTATCATGCCATCACTTTGAAAGAAGAAATATATACTGGCAAAGTGGCATTAGGAACTGGGTGTATATAAAGATGCCCAAATTACTGTCAGAATATTTCAGCATACTCACAGACAGACAGGTATATTTGTCTCTATATCCAACTGGCAGGTAGCACCATTGTAGCAATAGCCATCACATAATTGGCAGCTGGATGCAATTTTTCCATTTGTGCAGCTATGATTTGTGGGAGGAAAACATGTCATTGTTAACCATGCCACTACTGATGAATGGGGTGCATCAGTCACTCTATTTTTTTTTAATAGCTTGTTAAATTATTTTCCTCGGTTAATGAAGAAAGCTATTACAAACTGCTCAGCTTAACATAGCATGGTTACTCAATCAATTATATGTTTGTTATATTCAACAAAGAGAGTTCAATTATGTTTGCTATGTTCAATGAACTATGCAGGAAGATCAGAGGCCTTGACTTGGGGAGTAGCTGTTCTAGTAGATGTTGGCAATTTCATTGTTCACTTACTAGGTGAGTGATACTAGTGACCAGAAAACAATGGCTTTACTTACTGTTAATATCTTGACTACTTAAAAGCATGTGTATTTACATAAAGCAAGATCTACTGTACATCTAATAATTATGACATTATTAGCAAGGGAGTGGAAGTATGAATGATTTCCATCTCTGTTTCTTTGTTCTCATGCCCTACTGTGGTCATGCCCAGTGATTGCTTGATAACACAGAAATAATGAAAAATATATTATACAGAAGATGTAGTGATCTTCATATGCTGTACAGTAGCTAGTAAGGGGCAAAGATTCTTCTAAAATTTGAAGATAATATCATTATCTCATATTTAAAAGGCTGATATGGTTTATTAGTTTTATTGACACAAATCTTGCATTCACACACATTTCCTAGAAATGACATTACAGTTTCATTCCTGGTAGATATCTTAATGAATTCAAGGAGCAAGGTGTACCACATTGTAAATAATGTTATTGTATGTACATGTGTTTTGGAACTACCATTTTGATTTTCTCTACCCTTTTGGTTTTCCTTTGAATGAAAAGCAGCATATACATATTTTAATTAATTTTTCATGAAAGGTGAAACATAAATATTTTAATATATAAATTAATTACCATGGGATAAGTCAACTAGAATTAATCTGGGACATCTACAAACTGGAAAATGTATAATTAAAAATACATAATTAAAATATTTTCCCACAATAGTAAGTCTACGCACATGTCTTTACAACAGCCCAGATGGCTACTGCATATTATACATTAAGGCATACTATGTCATAGAGCACCCAACATTCTCCATCTGATTTCATTAAATCTACTAAATTAATTGTAGATATGAAATGGATTGTTGATTAATGGATATATAAACCTTTCTCTTCATTTGCTGCAATATTTCCTATAAGGTAGCCTAATTTTCATTTATATACAAGTCTAAATAATAGTTCATTTTATATGTTTTAAAATAATTTCCTTCTAACTAATATCAGCTCAGCTTAATGTTCAGGTACTTGCAGATAATGCAACTACTTGATCTATCAACAACTATATTGACTTCCACCATTCTAGTATATTTTAATACCCTGTGCATATATTGAAAGTATACATTTCTAGCTATTCAATTATTTGATTTATCCCAACTTTAACTTACTTGCACATTATGTCATCATTTTTCTTGTCTATGATGCATTGACCTCCATGACATTTTACACATTTGTCTACTTCACATTTTGAACCTTCATATTGTAGAGGACAGAAACATTCCACACTGCCATCATCAGCAATGATGCAGGATTCAGAATTAACACAATAATGGTGGCATATATCTGCAATGAATACACACACACACATGACTTGTAATAAAAATTATCCTCTTTTAAATCAAGACACATTAATAATTTCATTGAATCAGTAACTATTCTAATAAATTATCAAGCAATAAAAATAAATTTTATTTATGGAATACATATATAAATAGCTGAACAGATACACATACGCATTTATATTTGTTGATTTCAAAGGTATAATCCAATAGAACAATGAACATATGTACAAAATGAGACAAAAAAAATCTCAAAATAATTTTTAAAAAGACACTTTTCTCAAATCACAAGTCCCTTCATAGATTTTTCTTTGAATATTTGCCTTCAATTATTTTCTCCTTCATCTTCGCTAGACACCCTAGAATGATGTCTAGTCTAAGACATGTGGAGAATACAAAATGATGACCTGACTACCCACACAATTCTTATTCTTGTTTTCATGCAATAACAAGGGGAGGGGAGGGAGGGAGGGAAAGAAGGAAGGAAGAAAGGATCTTTTTACAGACAATGGCAATTTCCTTTTACAGGCATTGGTGAACCACTCCTGGAAATCTGAGAACAAAATGAAAAGTTCCTCCCAGTTTTGTAACACAGTTCTCTGTAGTGGCTCAGAACATGTGTTATAAACTGCAGTTTTCTCAAAACGTTAACATGTCTTTATCTTGTCACTGTTACTTCTTAATTTTAGCTCAGGAGTCCCTTTACAGGACAATATTGCCAGACTATATATTTTCCCCTTAATCTGTATGTCTGTCTGTGCATGATTTATGCAATCTATTATTTTCAAAATTCCAAGTACACTGAATTTAGGATCCATGTAGTTTATTTAATCCTGAGAACAGAATCACCACCAGTGTGGGATTTTTTGTTTTTCAGATTAATTATATTTAATAGCTTCCCAAATGGAATTATGATCAGTTGATTTCAGTAAAACCAAATTTACAATGTAGGTGAATCTTTTTGCTGGTCTCATTATTAAATGCGTTATTATAATACTTTTTATATTAGAGCCTTCCAGGGTCTTCTACATATTCAAATTTTATAGTGTTAATAAGTAATTTCCATCCTGACATTTTAGTTCATTTTTCACATCAAATAGATGGCTGTTTAAAAGTACAATACCATGACATAAGACAATTCTTGAATTTGGTACTGACTTGGTGCTGAAAAAGAAAAGCAAGTGCACCATGGCTCCTATAAATGTAACAGGAATCTATCTTATATGTAAATGTATAAACACTTGAGAGTTCATTAAGCGAAAATATGTATCAAATGAAAACCTGAATTGATAGGAACAATCAATTGGATCCATATAGGCTAAAATGTGGCCCTTCAGAAAACTAACTTTGGCTATGTTATGGATTGGTCTGATGATTCAGACTCTGAATTGAGGAGCAGAGCTTGACAGTTTCTGACCTTCCAATTCAGGAGCTGCCAAGCTCCTAGATATCTGCAGATGAGGCTCAAAAAGAGCAGCACCTGTTGGAGGATGACCCTTCATGTTGGGAGAAATCAGGCACCTGTCATGGATGCTGGATGCACAGCAGCAGGCTGACTCACATGATGGAGAGCCTGAGCAGGAAAAGATCCTCAGACCTTGCACATGATCGCAGAAAGATCAAGTGAGTTGAGCAGAGTTCTTCCTTGAGGCTCCTTGAAAGAAAGAGGCCTGACTCAGGAAGATAGACACACCTGAGTCACTGCTATAAAAAGGGCCTTGGAAGTGACACTTCTATTGGTGTGAAGAAATGTAGATCTGGAGTTGGGAATGAGGAAAGAGTGAGTGAGCCATTAAGGGGACTTTCAGAAAATCTTATTCAGTTCTGAGAAAGTGGACAATGTGAGAAAGTAAGTAAAAATGACATTGCTTTGATTTTGTTTGGTATAACATGCAGCAGAGAGAAACTCTGACAGGCTTTCAAGATTCTGCTTTCTACCCTTCAACAATAGAGCGCGCTCCTGAAATCCCTGTCATGGCTATTTCTTGACCTGGTTTACCTCAAAAAGCTGACAGTTTGCAAACAACTTTTCAGCCTCAGACCTGACTTCCTGAATATATGTATGGCTTCTGATTTCCTGGCTGGGGCCTGGGACAAGACTCCCCTCAGCTCTGATTCTTAGATCTTGGATTTGTCTGAATGGAACTTCAGGTTCTGAAGTATACTTTTTTTTTCCTGAACTATCACATTCCTGCACAGTGGTGAGATTTATGCTTGTTATAGAGAAATCAGATTTAAGTCTGAACTCTTGTACTTATAATTCCTGGCACTGGACAGTCTAGCAGCCATAGAAGTGGACAGTCTGGCAGGTGCAAACCTGAATGTTAAATGCTCTGGCTTCCAACGTCCAGAATTCTATGGCTGGGCTCTATAGGGACTAAGGCTTTAAATAAATTGGGAGTAATAGGTGCTGCAATAGTATTTAGAAGGCTGAAGAAGGCATGCAAGTGGAAGATGACTGGGGAGAGTTATTCTGTAATCTTAACTTCACTAAAACGACCAGAGGGGGGGAAGAATGATTGAACTTCATCTTCCCAAAGGATCTAAGTGCATCCAAGTTTTCTGTGGAGAGAAAAGGCAAGCTTTCTATGTCTGTGCACGTTAACGTTTGTCTTAAGCTTATTATACATGTACAGTATAAGTAGACAAATGTGGATATATAAGAACACTGCCACTTCTCCAAACTGTATTAGTGAAGATGGGACTGTAATACATCAGATGAGGAGCACCGTGTCAGTGACAGTCATATTTTGTTTTTCTCAGAATGGGGATATATTACAGATGCTCCATCTTACATCTTACTTTCTGAAATGGCTTTACATTTACGTGCAATTCTTTCCTATTTTAGGTTGTTGTTTTTTTTTAAATACCCCTCCCTTTTCCTTGCCTGTAATTTTAATAGCATTTTTCATTAATGTTTAACAGAAAACCTGCTGAACTCAAAAGCAAAGTAACCTTTTTCTGAAAACTGAGGGTCTATATTTCTATACTTATGTGTTATAGTCTTAAGAAATAGGCTATGAGCCACTGATTACCGCCAAGAACATTCATATAATTACTTTTAAAGTAGTCACTATGAAATTGCACAACTACTTGTGTGCCCCAAGAGATCATAATAGCAGTTTAATAAAATACCAGATGTCCATAAATTCTTTATAGACATTTTGATCATCCTGGTATCTGATATCACTTTAAGAAATCATAAATGGAGCTCTGATCTTATGGGTATACAAGTGCTGCCACTGCATTTCAAAGAAGTGCTTTATCTTCACTTTTCCCTTATATAAAATGTAAATATACAGCAGAAAAGAAGAATTTTTTTTTTACATTTATGTATCATTTTGTTATTGAAACTTCCTTCCCTTCCCTTCTCTGATTTGATTTTTTTTTTTTTTTTGCACTGGATTAAGAAGAGCAATAGCAGTTATCAGAATTCATGGTGAAGAAGAACAGGCTTCTGCCCATTTTTTAACATGGAAATGAAAGTAGGGTAAGTCAGGAGAAATGTAAAAGTGAGTTATATGCAATGGGCATGGGTTACTTAAGAAGTATGAATGTGGAAACAAGAGTGAAAGTGTTAGACTAGTGTGTGCACACTGTCATATAAGCAAAAAATACTATCTCATAAATAATATTGTTTTATAATGCATTGTTCAGTTTTGTCAGTAGATGGCAGCTTTAAAGGTTATATGCCGTATTTTTACTTTTTTTTTTCTCCTATGAACCTGTGCACTCTGGGAAATGATCTGATGTTATATCCTCTTCCTTCTCTGTGTTGTATGAAAAATAAAGTATCAGCCATGCTTGCAGTACCTCTCTGATTGGAAGTGTCCTGACTGAAGCAACTTCTCCAGATTATCAACATGCTCTGATAACAGAAAGAATGTATACAAATTGAATACAACAATATGACCAATATGATGGGTTGATCATAAAGAGAATACCAATGAACATGAACTGAAAAACAAATATATAATGGTTGAGTAAATGGGATGAGAGGAAGGGGAAGACTGGGAAAGTACAGTTGGATGAAGTTAATGAGTTCCTCAACATCAGAGCTGGGGGGTTTAAAGAAAAGGCAATGGGAAGGGGCATATAGATGGCAGTGGAAACAAGGATGTTTTGCAGGAACAGAAGGGTATGGAGAGAATAGTGAATGACATTGGTGCAAATTGTATTTAGTCAGATTTTCTTTTCCCTTATCTCCTGCCATTAACATTTCCTTACTTCTTTTTAATGTTTTTCTGTACTTTGCATGATGTTGTGTACCTCAAAAGGCAATGGGGTGATGAGAGAATGCATGTAGGCAGTTTTTCTCTTGCTGGACTGGACTTGCCTACTTTTTCATTCTGGCACTACCTACTTTCTGGAGTGCATCCCAGGTGTGCTGGGTATCCTAACATAGAATGAACAAGAACACACACACACACACACATCTGTGTTTGGAAGCCTTTATTCTTCCCCAGTCAATATATTCTTATGTTTCTGCTTTTGAAAATAATTTGCTCTGGCAAAACACGGCTGATGCATTTGTTCTTGCTACTGGTTTGTTTTCAAGTGTTTGTTTTAGCATTTGGCATTTGGCATTTAAATCCTTCAGAGGATTTAAATGCTATAGTTTGAGATATACTATAACCTGTGTCAACACAGAGATACATTCCCTCAGTGTTACTTGG